ACCAGTTTGGCTTAGTGGATAGAGTGTCAGCCTGTGAACTCAAGGGTCCCAGGTTCGATTCCGGTCAAGGGCATGTACCTTGGTTGCGGGCACATCCCCAGTAGGGAGTGTGCAGGAGGCAGCTGATCGTTGTTTCTCTCTCATCCATGTTTCGAACTCTCTATCCCTCTCCCTTTCTCTCTGTAAAAAAATCAATAAAATATATTTTTTAAAAATAAAATAAATAAATAAAAAACTGTGGTACAGAAAAAAGAAAAAAAAAGATGGCGATCGGCAGGGGAAAAAAAAATTGATAACAGTTGAAATTGATACGGCCCTCAATAAACTTACTGAATTTAGTAATTTACAGAGAATTTATCTGGAAGTTTTATACAATTTTAATAATCATATAATTATGTTTTTACCAAGGTCCATGTGTTTCCCCATCCCCGTTTATCCCACTGTGCTGTGAAATTTTTTATAATTTTCTGCTTGACATAATGTTTAGAAACACTGCTCTCTGCCCAGGACAGGCCTGTTATTCTGACGTGGATTATGTCCCCTCACTGTCCTGACCATAGGCCGAATCCGAGTGCATGGTATCGGTGGGGGTCACAAGCAACGTTACCGCATGATTGACTTTCTTCGGTTCCGGCCGGAGCAGGACACCAAGCCGGGACCCTTTGAGGAGAAGGTCATCCTCGTCCGCTATGACCCCTGTAGGCAAGTTTGGGATGTGGGGTGATGATGGCATGACTGAATGACTACTCTGTGGCTTTTCAGAAATGTGGGGCTGCCTAGATGGTCTGCTCATCTGTCACTCACCCTGAACAGGTCAGCAGACATAGCTCTGGTGGCTGGGGGCAACCGGAAACGCTGGATCGTTGCCACGGAAAACATGCAGGCTGGAGATATAATCCTTAATTCTGACCACATAGGCCGCATGGCAGGTGAGAGGTGGCCACCGGATGTGTGTGGGCTGGGAGGCTCATTCTGTTGCTGATGAAATTCTGTCTTTTAGTTGCTCCTCGAGAAGGGGATGCACATCCTCTTGGGGCCTTGCCGGTGGGGACCCTCATCAACAGTGTGGAGAGCGAGCCAGGCCGAGGGGCCCAGTATATCCGAGCCGCAGGTATGAAGAAAGAAGCTGCTGGGCGGGTTGGGGGACGGGTCTTACAATTTGGAAGGCCAGGTGGTACCCAAGGTCACAATTCTCTGAACCAAAGACCCACATCTGGTCCATTGGCAGAGGAAAAGAAGAAAAAACAAGGAAAATGAGGAGGAAGAAGTGCTTATGTTTTCACCTAAAACATTGCATGCCTCCTGCTCCAGTTTATATGCTCCCGAAGGGGTGTGGCCCCTATAAGTCTGTCCCCCGCCTCCTCCTCTGTGGAGGGTGGCAAAGCTGCTTCTCCCTCCCCAGGGACGTGCGGTGTGCTGCTACGGAAGGTGAATGGGACAGCCATCATCCAGCTGCCTTCTAAGAGGCAGATGCAGGTGTGTGTGGGTACCGGTGGGAGGGATCAGCAACGGAGGAATGTACCTTTCCTGGCCCACGTAGCTCCCAGGTGTTTTATGTCAGGAGCTGCCCTGAGCTGGGGCTGTCCTTTTGGGCTGCAAGAGGGACTGTCCAGTCAGGCTGGCCCCACGATGGAACAGAGAACAGTGTCTTGTTTTCAGCTCCTGTAGGACCTGCACTCAGGTTCAGTTATGCTGTGCTTCTCCCCGTCCTCTCCCTTCCCAAGAGTCCTGCCCTCAGCATGGTCAGACTCTTTCCCCCACCATACGATCTCTCCCTCTGCTTTCTCTGTCAGGTGCTGGAAACGTGCATAGCAACAGTAGGCCGAGTGTCCAACGTTGATCATAACAAACGGGTCATTGGCAAGGCGGGGCGGAACCGCTGGCTGGGCAAGAGGCCCAACAGCGGGCGATGGCAACGAAAGGGGGGCTGGGCTGGCAGAAAGATTCGGCCACTACCCCCAATGAAGAGTTACGTGAAGCTGCCCTCAGCGGCTGCCCAAAGCTGATACCTCTGGACTCTAATAAAATGACCCCCCATTTTTATCTGTTATTGGTGTTTTGGGAGGGGAGATGGTACATATTGGACGGGAGGAAAGAGCAAACGTGTCGGGGGAGAAAGGGAGAGACAATAGAGGGCAAAGCCTGGCTGCAACCTGCAACCTCCTCGCTTCCAGCCGTCCTCCCCTTCTCGGTTCCTTCTTAGGTCATGGAGGAGGGGGTAATAAATGACCTCCAAGGTCTTACTCAGTTATGGCTTGGGGGAAGGGGGAAGGCACTTCCGGTGGGAGGACACAAGGAAGAGGAAAGGGCGGCACGTTGTTGAGGTGGCAACCCCGGCTCCGCCCCCGCTCCCAGGGCCCCTCGCTTTCCGCTGGGCCAGGAAATGAGCCGAGGCTG